CCAAATAATAACAAGAATTTTAAACCCATGAGCGAGTTTTGAGTAAAAACAGCAACTGGGAAGCCTCGTTGACATCAACAACAATCATTTATTAGTATTCTAGTATTCAAAAACAGACTAAAATCACACGTCCTCTTTCTTTTTGCACCACAAACAAACCCAGATGTCCTCAGTCCAGCTTCTACACCAATCTTAAACTCCTACTACGAATATTGTTCGTCCTCTGCACCTTGAACTCCTTCCAGGACCCCCGAGGGTCCCCAAACCTCACTTTGAGAACCCTGAGGAGACAGTACCTGCAGCGAAGCTACAATAAATGAGAGTGGAACCGATACCAAGCCGGCTATCCGTCTCTGTCTGCCCTCTTTTTTTCTCCTTTTTCCACTGAAACTCAGCCCATCCAGAGTGACTCATCCATCCTCGTTAGGATCCTCGTTAGGGGAAAGTGACCCCGCCCTGCCCCGGGCCGCCGAGGTGGGGGAGGGGAGGGGGGAGTAATTAAGGTAATTAGCTCAGGATATCAACATCGTCAACCATCTCCAGGCGAGAGTCTGAGTCTATCAAAGGTTGAGATAAATAATGGAACACATAAAAGCTTTCCTCCCGGAGCGCCGGCTGCTAACGGAGCACGTTCAGGTCACATGAAGACGATAATAACCGCAACAAGTCCCCTCGTCTGCCGGGTTTTCTCTCCCTTTGGGTATTTTTTAAGTCCATTTGGAGTTTGTTTATAGCAAATTGAAGCTGGCACAGACACAATATTAGGACAGGTTAAAGCTTTTTAGCAACACTCGCTGATTACTTTAATCTACTATTCAAATTGCTTCACTTTACGCTGATGACACCTGATTCTATTTGAGTTTTAGGAGTTTGTAGCTGCATGTTTTTGCATCGTGTTTAATAAATATTTTTACTTCAGTGATGTTCCTAATGACTAATTTTCCTGCCAATGAAAAGGGAAAATCAAAATTTGACTGGTTGGCTACACTAACAAGTAGAAAACACTCATAAAATAGCAAAACTGAACTCAATTTAAGTTTAAAAATTGAAAAAAATGCTGCAAGTATTCGGATCTGTTTCATTATTTCATAATCAAATCATATTTTAAATGCTGCTGATAGGTTACACATCTCTCTGGTTAAGTTATTATCATCATGTTTAATGTAACAAAGCCTACACTGTAAAAAATTACAGTTTTTAACAGATTTTACTGCCATTTTTTTGGAGAAAACAACAGTTATTTTTCCAGATTTTCCCCATTTTCTTAAATTACACACAACACTGAGTAATATTGCAGCAAAAGCACTATTTTTAACATCAAAACTACTGATATTTTAGTATAAAAACACCAGAATCTTCGGGTCACGCATCCAAAGCAACACACAGCAGCCGTCGTCCCATAAAGTCGCCGGAGGGCTTCTCCTGCTGCTACAAGACTCGGCTCGTCAATCACGTTTCCTTTATTGTCATCGCTCACAATCAATCAGATCAACCTCCTCCCCTCCCCTGC